AACTGCCCCGCCGTTCCCTTCGCTCCCGGGAGACGCCCGAGGAACTGCCCCGGTCCCCGGACCAACTTCTGCCAGTACAGCAAGTGCTCCGGCAACAGGTTGGCAATTTTCCTTTGATCTATACCATACTCTCGCCCACCGCACGACGCTAACGTGTACCGTGCCACTCCCGCAGTGGCCCGCACACTTGTGCCCCAGGGAAATTTACCTGCGAGGCCCCGGGCTGCTCCTGGCCGAGAAGCTTCAAGACCAAGCAAGCCTTCAACCGCCACTACCGTGCGAAGCACCTCAATGACCGTGTTGATTGCCCAGTAGCAGGGTGCGTGCACGTGGGAGATCGTGGGATCAAGCGTGCAGACAACTTGGTTGCTCACTTGTGGAACCAGCATGGGATCCTCCGCGCTAGGCCGCCATATGGGGATTAAGCTCGTCGGTGCCAGGAGCATTGGTGTTGCTCGGGGTCGCTATCTTGCGTGTTAGCTTGACGTTTTCGATAGTCTTTTCTTGAGAATCTCCCTTGTATTCTCTTTGCCTTGTCAAATGTCTTATTTGTTCCATTCTTGTGCCCGAATCCATACGACGCTCAGTTATGGTTGCCTTCCGGTATTTTTGTCTCATATTTTGTAGCCTCCGGCCGGTTCATTCTGTGAGAAGCTGATGTGTCCGTTTTTTTGGCCTTTTTCTCTTTCTACGAGTGGATCTCGCTATTCTATCTTCCAATACATTCCCGCGCTTAGCCCTCTCTTTTCCTTGGCCCTCTTTTTGTCCCCGGTGTCCAGACTACTACAGGCATCCAGCGTACGGTCAAATTTCTCCTATCATAACTCCCACATACATATTGGCACTTTTTATCGTCAAATAGCAAAAACAGTTTAGCCACCTTATCGCAATATAAACTCCCTTGGCCTCCAAACAGCCCCTCCGGGGTTACATCCTTATCATGAGTTATCATTCGCTTTGAGTTCTGCGCCAAGCCTCTACTTTACTGGCCCCGAATTAACACACACTAGGGCTGAGATAGCGAATTACACGCTGTTATTATTATAAATTGAATTCGACACTCGCTGAGTTTATGGTATTGTGCGAGGTGTTTGGAAATCCCCCTATGGCCGATTTTGGCGCAAGGTGAGGCCTGCAGTAGCGAAACTGCCTTGATCACTCGAGTACGTTCTCGGTAGAGGGGGGCCATAGAACAAGGGATGCACCCGGAGCCAGAGGAAACTGCTTTTAACCCCAACGCTGCCTGCAGTACGCTCCAGAAACCTAGCCAAAGCTACCCGAGCAGTTTATCGTCGCCAGGCTCTCACTAGGCAGTACAACAAACACTCTACCAATCATCAGTGGCGATCCACGATTACATGTACTCGCAGGTCCTAGAATTCAGGCTCATGCATATATCACATTGTGACACATCAGTTGCCCAAGGCAGAACAATACTCAAGTAGTACAGCTAGCCTCACAATTGAGGCTCAATAACCATCGACAACACCCCCCCAAATCAGATTCGGTTCGTGGCCAGTCTTTCCTCATTTGTAGCCGACCACATAGGAGCACTCAGCGGCTTAATGTTACACCCTAAAACCTGTGTCCCTACCATATTTTCCCTGCTAACAGTTAGTGCCCCTGGGCCAACCTGAGCCAATCTGAGCAGCTGGAAGTGGGTGTCTATCTGCTGGTTTATTTCGACGAACCGGACAGCCCGCACCGATTAGATACACAGCTCAGCAAATTCCTTCTCCATCCATACAATAACGGATGGCATCTCGTTTTTGGCTCGGGGAGTGGTACCCCAAATGATGCCGAAACAGATCGGACAAGCGATGCGCGAGTAATCCGGAAAACAACACCGCCACTCTCATCTCTCCGGCGACGGAAAAAAAGGGCGTGTCTGGAGAACATTTTAAAGAAAATTAATAAATAACTCTTCAGAACAATCCACAACGCTCCCAAACGATCCGCCATACCCATAAAATCCTATTCTCCTACTATGTCTTCTGGCAGATTGTTCTACAAAAACTGAATGCCTAAGTTCTGAAGGAGAAGTAAAATCCGCGCTAAGACAGCCTATCTGTGTGTGCTTCTACACACCCGAGGAGGTAGGCCGCCTCATGCCTCCTTATCAGCATTTGTGGTTGTCAATAAAAATTAAAAAAATCCATAACGCTAAACCCCATACCGGTAGATGCCCCTAGCCTGACCAGAGGTGTAGGACGGTATTTGCCGCGGCCACTGGCGGCTGCTAATTCAAAGCCGAAATTTTTTATGGGAAACATGGGGGGCACCTTTCTTTGGTTGCTGAGATGGCACCACACGGGGAGCGGAAACTAGATAAACCCGCCAGCATAAGACGTCTTTCAGGGATAAATTAACAGGCGAATCGATACGAAATAGATAATCCCCTTTAACACCCACGCCGTCTAATAGATCACTAATGTTAACTCAAAGGATGGGTTGTTACTTTTTTGTCTTGTTGATATTTCATTGACTAAATGTCCAAGCAGCACGCCAATTAAGCGAGGCTCCAGTGAAAGAAACCTGAGAAGGAGAAGTAACAGTGGAAGTGCACGTGGATAATTATCCATATGACGGGACTCAGGTTGTGATGTTAATCCGGTCAAAAATTAGTGGTTACCGACAACCATCTAGTCTGATACACATGCCCTCCATTGCCCAAAGTGAGCCTGAAGAGAATTCTTTTTCCAGGTGGTGTATTGAATTGGAGGCTAGACACCTCATCCCTAGATCTTGTTTCTCCAAAGCGAGATCCTCCCGGGGCCATGATTCTCGGGTGCACCGCCCCCACTGAAAATTTAATTTTTCTTCGTACAAAACTACTATCCTTTGACCCTTGTGTGCGGGTGCGGATATTAGCCTGTCTGCTGGCAGCGCAGATACAGCGCACCCTCCATGTCTCAGGATTATTTCAATAGTCCACGATTGACCAGATTCGTTGTGCAACGCTTGCATTTCAGGCTCATGCATAGCTTTGAGTAACCAACCGGTACAGTACTGTACTGTACTATACGCGCAAACAAAGTTTTGATCTTTCCACTTCCACTGCATGACCGTTTTCTACCAAATTTTGCGCTCTAGACCCCAGCTACTACGCTCTTTCATTCCTTACACGACTTACAGTCACTAAAAATATGTAGGTCTCTGTTTGCTTTTATAAAAACCCTTGTAGGTCACGGGCCCAGGCTAAAGCGCCCCTGCCAAACCAAGTGATTGCCGGTCAACTTCCCCGGATGCCCACTTACTAGTCAATCCCGATGAATACTCAACCCACTTAGATTAAATCCAGGACTCGGCAATCTCCGGCTACCTCTAGACGGGGATGAACGGTATTCAGCCCCGGGCCATGGGATGCAGCCGCCGGTAATCCCGCGGAGGCCAGTGAAGTAGATAAAGCAAACCCCCAAAACGGCACGGCCATCCTAATCTCTCCGGAGACCCCCCCCCAGAGCACTTGCCTAGGTCTCTCGAGCTTTCACCAATACTACAAGTGCCCCGGAAATAGGTTTATAATCCCCTCAGCGGTACTCGACATAGTGCCTCACCACTTCAATTTTCCTCTCCTTCCCGTTCTAGACCTAGCAACTTGAGCCAGGAATCACAAACTCTCACTCGACACCTTCTGCGATCAGCCTGTTGAAACATGCTTCTGACACTACCAGTAACAGGTATTGTGGTATCGTTCAGGCTATTACTTCTTCTCCTTACATCAATTCCTATCTCAGGCACACATCTAGGCCTCTGGTACTATTGAAGATACCTCCTTGCATTTCTATTTTCTTTTCTTTCCTCTGCTATTGTTACTGTTCGCTCAACCTAATTGTCTCACTCACAATAGTAGATAGTAAGAGTTTCTCGCTCTTCCCTTCTAGAGAATTAAGCATTCATCCTTCTCTATCACACAATCTTCTTTGCCGTGCAAAACACCCCTCACCATACTCTCACAATAAAGCCGTCAATCCCCACAAGACCAACTTTACCTTACGCTACACTCCTCCCCGCTACATGGCATTGACAAGTACATACTTGCCCTGTAGTGGCCTCATACACCACCCCAAGTAGATTTATCTGCGAATTCCCGAACTTTTCTTGACCTAATGGCTCAAAAAAAAAGCAACCCTCCAACAAGCACTACAGCGCAAAGCACGCACGAGTTTCCCAGCTAGAGGACATGCGAGCGCTGAAGCTCACCGGACTAAATAGGCGTATAATCTTCCAGCCCACCGGCGCTTGTTGAGCAAAAACAGTATTTCTCAGGCTAGGCCGCAATATAGGAATTAGGCTCTTCAATGTCATGCCACTAACACCCTCAGATCATTGCTGTCTTATCAGTCGATCTAAAGTTTCAAATTGTCTTTCTCTCCCCACTATATTTCCTCGACTTTGCCTTATTTCACATCCGCTATCCTTCCAACTCCCCGCTCATTCCCCCTCAATTACGGCCATTCCATCATTCCTTTACCCATTCATATCCGGCAGCCTCAGTCGGAAAAAAAATCTACAGGAGTACCGGCTTTTGTACGATAATTCTACCGATGAATATGAAAAACGCCAAAACCCAGGTTTTCCCAGTTCCGATTCTAATCTAATACCCTATATTTTCATCCGTCTACCGTATGATGTTTTCCGCCCCAGCCCCCACCAATAGCCATCCGGTGCCATCTATTCTAGTAAGGAGAACGTTTCTAAAAAAAAAGGAAAAAGAGAAAATTGTAAAGACAAGACAAGGCAAGGCAAGGCCAGGCTGGACCTTTTCTTGTCAGGGAAGAATGTCAGACTATCGTTAGGACGGCGCAATGCAAGAAAAGCCAGGAGAGGAATGCGAAGAAATGCAAAGACAAGTAAAGAGAGAATGGAGTGTAAACGAATAGGAGTGAGGGAAATGAATTCTAAGGGTGCGTCCCAAGCCATGATGAAAATGCGCCTTCTCTTTTTTCCTGGTTGTCGCCGTTGTCGTGGTTGTTGTGTTATGGTCGTAATCCATTCAACTACCGGTGCCCGTTCATTGGATCATCAACCTCGCGTTTGGGAGTCCCGACGGGCGTAGGCGGCATCTCCACCAGGAACTCATCGCTCTCGCGACTCGCCGCAAGGCTGGTAATCGGAATCTTATCCCCGCCACCAAGTTCCGCGAGCGCCCTCCTGTACATGCTCGGCATGAACCTTTCACAGTCGTGTTTGAGCAGCCAGTCCTCGCGCGGCAGTTTGATGCTGCCCGAGTTCAACCTGACCTGCGTCCAGTTCGCCTTGTGCCACATGTCGCGCACCTCCACTCCCTTCTTCTGCGCGGACTATTTTGTGACTAGCTCACATCAGTTTTGTGTTTATTTCTTCCTTTCTCCACCCCCCGCTTCCCACAAAATTCCATGCTCGGCCCTTTATTTTCCTTCATCGTCTTTTATTCCCCATATGCGACCAGTTCTAGGCGCCCAGTCCTTAACCAAGCCCCCCCCATCTTCAAATTTTATACACATGTTGATACCTACAATCATCGAAGATTGATAACTCTTTACCCAGCCCATGGAAAGTCCCATTTCATCTCCTTTTAGATCCCTCCTATATACTTTATTTTGCCAGCCCAAGTCGGGGCCCGTCTCTAGCAGCAAATTAATTTCCGGAACCTAGCGTGAAATGAAATAAATATATAAGAAATTTTTTGTCAATACAAATGCCACTAAACATATACCTGGTAGCAAACACGTCAATAATTCGACTTATCTTACATACCTAGCACCCATAAGGTAGCGGGGGATCTAGTAGCGCACATCCAAGAGTGCACTATAATCCTACCACTGTTCGGTCCCGGAGATACCGAAGGGGTTAGAAACGAGTTGCTCTTTTTGTGTTGGGCCTACAACTCACAGCCCCAGAGCACCTAGCTATGGGAAATGACCTGAAGCTCTCTATTGTATTTTCCGCCTTTTTAAAGGCATTTACTAATCCCGTACTTGTTCTGTATCGCAAATTGTTTCCTTTTTCTCCGATCCTAATTATCTAGTTGGACTCAACCATTCGGACAAGAACACAAGCTTGGAACTCGGATCTGCGATAGGACCTAGACCCAGAGATCTTTTAACCCTAGTCCTATAAGTAACCGCAGTGAAAACACGTCACCTCATTATAGTGACAAAGGTGCAGAGATTGTTAGCTTATACCGCAGTGTTCAGCTCAACCAGTGCCAATTCATACATGAACACATGTCCTGAAAACTCCCCCAAATCCGGGAAGTCATGCTCAATCACTCGGAGGCCTGCCTTCTCCAGAACAATGCCCGGGAAATGAAATCAGGGTATAGAAGGGGTAAATAGAAATAGGAGAAAATGTGTGCTTTTTTGTAAACAAATCAGAGGTACCACTGAACCTATACACAGGAAATAGGCTATACTGATGCTGATATGGTAACCGGGTACCAGCAGTATTGGCCCTATAGCGCCTATAGCACCATATAACTTGTGACTACCCTCCAGATATAGCGGATGGTTAACAATATCCTATAACTCAGCAATAGGCAGCCCGTTCCCCGGATTTTCTCAAGAAAATCGAACGGAATGGAGCCGCGAACAGCACTACGGTTTCAGCTGCTTATTTTCCGGCTACCCGGCGTAATTGGCGTTACCCCGCATCCGTAAAACAGGTGAGCAAGAATAATCACAGTCGTTGATTCCCGACGGCTAACACTTTGCAGATTGCTAAGATGCATTGAAAGCGCTGCGAGTCCCCAGGAGTTCTTTTGTTTTCGCAGCAAGTGGAGGCGTTTATTCAATTCCAAGCGTTAGAATTCACTCTTCTCTACTGCTGACTGACATCATAAAGCAGTGATAACTTTTAGTGATATCCCTAATTGAACAAAGCCGATGGGAGAAAATCGGAAAAATCTCCTCGAACCCAATTCTAGTTCTAACGCTCAATCGGGAGCCAAAAGTGTCACTCACGATAACGTATAAAAACAACTTTACTGCATTACGCGTTTTCATGCGTTATCACTCACTCGAAGAGTGAATTTTCTGACAGAATGAGAGAAACAGAAGCTTGATTTTTGTACCGCGTGCGCAGATGCGAGTTTATACCCTCGTAGAAGGGGAGAGAAAGAAAGGAGAGCCAAGGTTGGCATCATACTCATGCCAAGGTCGCAGCTAGGGTGCTGCAACCCCCGAAAATTCGCTAGCACAGTTTTCTAGGGCACTCATCCTGAGTGCCCGACAGCTCAATGTAAGTTTAAAGCTCAATGTCAGTTTGTGGCTCAACGTCAGTTTGTAGCTCAACCAACTATTAAAAACACATCGAATTTAATTACTCATCTTGATTTTACAGCATTATCCCAGATTATATATTTATAATATAATTGCTAATGTAACTTTTTACTATGATATAACACAATTTTCTTTAAAATTTTACATTTAAAATAATATCAGACAGAGCTGATACATTTAATTGAAGTTTATAAAATATGTAAGTAGAATCTGTATGTAGATATTAATATAATTATCTCATTCTACCTATTAAATAAAAAGCAGAATGAATATAAAAAGTAGAATAATAAGGTGTTGTAATAGTAGAATGAGTATTAAGAGTAGTATAATTAATAGGCAATTTAAAATTATATCTCATATTATAAAACTAAGGTATAGGACTATAAGATTAGATAGAGCCACAAAATTATACTGAGCCACCAGATTAAAAGTGGCTTTAATTGCTAATTAAGGCACAAAGTGATGTTGAACCACAATCTTACATTAAGCTGCAAACTTATGTTGAGCTGACAGGCACTCGGGATGAGTGCTCCCGAAAACTGTGCCAGCGAATTTCCGGGGGTTGTGGCACCCTAGCTGCAACCTTGGCACGAGTGCGGGAACCCGAGAGGAATTGAAAGAAAAAAAACTCTGGAAGGGTGGGCAATGAATACGAAGTGATAAGGAAGGGCATAGCACCGTTGAATATGGTATGGTTGGGAAGCTGTGAGGCGAATGGATCAGAGATGAGAAAGTCAAACGGAGTTCAGCAGTGAAGGGAGTGGTGAGGAAAAACCAGCAGCAGGCGAAACATATTGAAAGGAAAGGAGTCCAGAAGGTGGATAAACGCTAACCCCAACACGAACTAATGCTCCTTCTCTGGACCTTAGTGGGCTGGGCTAACACATCCCGGAAGACAGTTACCTAATTTCGCCCGAAGATACAGTCATCAGGTAGCACCATATGCACACAGATTTAATTCCCCCGCCCCATTTCACGACACTGCGGCAAAAAATCCTTCCATACCTAACCATACCCCCAAAGAAAGACCTTGGCGTAACGCAAAAGCAGGGGCTACTTTATCCCTGGCGGGAGAGCGCATGAGCTAAAAGAAATACTATTCTCTAGAGGAAAGGTCTTTTAATATAAACCATATTTATAGTACCCTCTACGCATTCACCCCAAGCCGCTTTACCCCGGGCTCTTAATGCAAATAGTCCGCCAGCATAAGGCCGTAAAACACAGGTACTTACACTTACAACCCACAGGCCGATGATCGCAGTGGGTGACTGGCTCTTGCTTTCAGGAACTTAGGCGTATACATATATGACTTATTTATATGTGAATACCCGACCCTTTGATAAAACTGTAAGTTACCGGACAAGAGGAACCTTAAGTGCCTGAATTGTGCTAGGGAAGGTAAATTGCGCAACGGCATAGGAGAGGAATAAAGTAGGGCCTGGCCTAAAAGGTATGGTCATACACTTCATTCTCTCATTCCTCGCCCCCCCTAAACTTATAGCAAAGACAGGAGTATAAGCAAAACATAACGGAAGCATACTAGCCCTTCCATAGATCACAGCGCGTCTTCTCATTTCATCCATGCATGTCCCCATTCCCCCCACACACCAGTGGTAATAAAGGAAAGGAGCATATTGAGAAACTTCTCCATAGATCGCGGCAACTCCAGAGGAAGACAAACCGCCTCCGGCGTCCCCGAAACCTCCGTAATCTACCAAAATTTACTTTCCGCCCAGGAACTGCTGCCAGAATAGCTCCTCCTTGTTAGCAGCACACACATTCAACCACTTTCCGAAATCTCACCAACGATACTAGACACCCGATGAGGTTGCTACGGGGTTTTGTAGACGGAAGCCACAGGTGTTTTCCCTTTTTTATTCACTGCCTTAAATCTCAGATTATCACTCGAAACCCTTAAACCAACCTCGCCACCCCTCTAAATTATCACCCCCTTTGAACCCCCCTAGATAGGCATTCCCAAGCATCGCGAGCATGCAAATTTACAATTAGCGAGTAAAAAATATTAGCGGTCTCCATTTTGAACCAAAAATATTTTACTTTACTGCCGTGTAAGCAAGTGCAAAAGTCATTGCTGATTAAACTGTTGTAGGAAAATCATGGTAATATCCTCGCACCTTCTGCGAATCTTTTGGTATTAAAACAGTGTTTCCAAGAACGGCTAAGGGACGTTTGGCTGTATTGTAACCGGTAATTTAGATACCCCCAATTGAGAGCTCCATACAAAAGACACATTCACAAAATGTCGGAGGTGGGGTCATATATCTGCCATAACATTTGACCTGCAGCCCAAGAGCATAGAATGGCCACCATCCGAACCTTGTGGAAAGCTCCTACCATCAGTAAGAATCACTCCACCAAACATGGCCCTTGAGTTCACCAAATCAGATACTTCCAGTATAAATATAAGGAGGTGCCCAGATCATCCGCTTGTACTCTAAGTGCTCGAGAAACATGTTAGAAATCCCCATCCAACTTACACCGCACTCATATTATACCCGATGCATGACACTAACACGTCCTCTACCACTCCTACAGTGGCCCTCATACTTCCCCCCCCCCCCCCCCGGGAATATTCGCCTGAACTGCCCATGAGGATGAGTATTAGTTGGATGGTTTTTTATAGTACTGGGGCCGGTAATGTACAGTATAGTAAAGGCACCTATATCCCAGGATCATTCTCATAGCCGGTACCCTGTGGTTAGCTTGGCTCAGCCGAGCGTATTTCGGGCCCCAGCAGATACGATATTTGAGTAACGTCCACATAAATTAAAGCGCGACTCATTTTTATTAGGTCGAACTCAAATACCGCTCTGTTCCCTCTCCTACCCTCCACCAAATTTTACTAGTCTGTCATCCAGTTCCGCACTTCCCACTGAAAAGATCTAAGTGGCTGTCCTGTCCGGCTTCCTTCTTTTTTTTTTTTTTTTGACGATATATGTCCTCATGCAGGCGCCCGAGTATCACACCACAAGATACACCAGATCAGGTGGTGGACAAATTTTCACCGGTGGACTTGGACATGTGCGACAACCCAATCGGGTTACATCCAGGACTCGGTGAACTCCCTCTGTATCCAGAGGGGGATGGATGGTATGGAGTCCTCAGCCCACGGGATTGTACGTCCGATATTCCTAAGACAGCCAACGAGGGAAATGGCCCAAAGCCGGAAAACGGCATCGGGAGTGGAATCACCCCCGCCAACCCCACCTCTAACACACACACACTCCTTCCGAGAATATTCTGCCAATACCACAAGTGCTCAAGCAGCTAGTCAGCTACCCCTTTGTTCCTACAGTATGCTAGTACCCATCGTACGATACTAACATGTACTACCGTATCACTCATGCAGCCGTCCTCACACTTGCGCCCCAGGCAGGTTCACTTGTGAGGTCCCCGGTTGCTCCTGGCCCAGACCCTTCAAAAGAAAGCAAGATCTCAACAGACATTGCTCCTCAAAGCACCTCAATCACCGCATAGATTGTCCAGTCAAAGGGTG